GATTTTGAACGATTTTTGAGTCTTATATGATAACGATATTACAATGAGCAATACTAAGCAATTATTGGGCAACTGTATTAATAAGCAAAAATTTGATACGGTTAATTTGGAAAAGTAATGTAATTACAATTATGACTTCTTTTAGCAATAAATGCTATGCTAAATTCAGCATGTATTGGCGCAGCATATCATGGACTAAATCTATATAAATCGTATTTAAAATTTTAAGGATTCGTTATGTCTTTTTTTTTTGAATGCCATGACAGATATCGAAGGTTTTTTTTTTTTTTTTTTTTTCTTTTTTGTTGTCATTTAAAAAAGGAGAAAAACATTTAATTCGTCTTTCATTTAAATAGATACTATACCACTTAGTCAAGCGCAAATAGAAATTATAAATAATATAAATGAATTAAGAATACCTGAACCACAAAAGTTGACGTTATCGGCTTTAAAATGTAAAAAATGCAGGTAATAGCATAAATCCATAGATTTTTTTTTTTTTAAAAATAAATTTTTTTTTTTTAAAAAAACAAAGAAATTCACAGACGAACAATAATGTCGACAGAAGATTTCGTTGATCATAATAAAGGAAAAGGTCAAACGGCATTTGCATTTAAAAAACGTGATTCGTCATCTTCAATTAAATGTTCTTCGTATTTCGTTGAACCATTGGATTGGATATTGAACGAAGTACAAGAAGGTGAATTAGAAGGAAAAATAAAATGTCCAAAATGTCAGGCTAAATTAGGAAACTTTAGTTGGGCTGGTAAGAAAAGTTTTTTTTTTTTTGTTAATTATTTATTATCAAAATAAAATAAATTTATATATTTTTTGTTGGGAATATCTTTATAGGAATGCAATGTTCTTGTGGCTCATGGGTAACTCCTTCATTTGCTATTCATCGCGAAAAGGTTGATGAAGTTTTAACATGAAAGAATTTAAGGTTTTTAATATATTGTTTTTTTTGTTTGAGTTTTTATAGAGGATGTAAAATTTAATATTATGTGTATATTTATTAGCTTCTTTTTTTATTATTTAATATCGAAAGTTAATTTTTTTTTTTTGATTAAAGCCAATTAACTGGTTAATCTTTTAAGCTCCGTCTCTTTTTTTTTTTAAAAAAAAAAACTTGTAATTTGCAAAACGAGAAATCAAAATACGTTGCTTACCTATCTCTTAAAGCTGAAATTGTAAGATCTGCTTTTTGCCATGAAATCCTGTATAAGATTTATCTAAAGCATCCAAAAGTTTAATTTTCAAAGATTCGTCATTTTCATTTGAACTTCCCCAAGTAACCTCGTCATGCGCAACATCACCCAACTTTCCTTGTCTAATTAATCCAATAATTTCATTCATCATTTCACTTCTTTCTTCCTTTGAATGATATTGGTACCATCTTGACATCCAATATCCAAGAAATTTTATATCTTTAAATATTAAAAGTGATGCTGGAATTGTAATTGGTTGTCTTGACATGGCTCCATATGTTACATGATATCCGGAACGACTAAGATGAAATGAAGAAAAAAACGAATTTAATTTATGAATTATTGTAAATTTCGTAAATAGTAAGCACCTTTGTGAGAATAAAGAAAAAATACCATAGATATTTTGCCATTTCTGTTGATATTTTTCCACCAACACAGTTAAGGCCTAATTTAATCCCTACATTATTGTCGTTAATGTTCGTCCATTCCTTTATCAAGTCTTTAGTTTTATAACATCCTAATTCCTCATCGGTAACTATATATGTCGCGCCAAGCGATTTTAGACGCGCTTTTAAATCCTCAATTTCTGGTCTTTTGTAAAAAACAAAAAAAAAATTTTAATTTACGTTTATTTTACATAATTCGTCAAAAGATATGAACGTTACTTTATTACCTATTTCGAACAATGTTTATGGTTTTTATGTTCCATGCATGGGCGATTTGAATCACGGCTTGTCCAACACCGCTATTAGCCCCATTCTGAATCACAAAATCCCCTATCAAAATTCGAAATTGATTAATTTATTATATATGATTTCTATCATGATTAACGGAAATGTATAAGGGATTTGAATTACCTTCTTTTAATGTAGCAAAGTCTTTTAGCATGCGAAATGCAGTACAAGCGTTTACTGTCAAAGTTGCAGCCTGAAGTGATCCAATTCCCTTATCGATACGTGTCACATCATTTGGAGTTGCTGCGGCATGTGTACGCCAAGTACCTGCAGTTTTATTTTTCCTATTAATTTTTTTTTTTTTGAATTTATTATTCTTTCTAATAAACAATACGTTTAAACTTGAGAACCTTACCGAATCCAGATCTTCCCATTACAACCCAATCACCAACTTTTAAATCTTCAATCTGATCTCCAACAGCAATCACTTCTGCTACACCCTCATTTCCACCAACGGCCAATTCTTTATGTTCCCCATCAGGTAAAACCCCTAATTCTTTTGTGAATGTAGGTCTTAATGGGTAAACGCCTTCGATTTGATTAATGTCAGCTGGATTAATGGGTGAAGCGAGAAAACGTATATGCATGGTCGTGGGTGTTAAAGGTGGTAATTCATGTGTATGAACTCTAAAAATTTTTAATAAATAAATATAAATATATAATATTATAGTCAGTGAAATTTGTATTTGTAATTTAAGAAAGTCAGTATTAATTACCTAAGAACATCCTTTGGAATTCCATATCTTTCAAAAACCACCGCTCTTGCTTTAGGAGATACATATGAAGATAGAAATCTGTATTGTGATAGAACTTTGCAAGTAGAATGGTGCGAAAAATTAATTGCCCTTTTTAAAAACATGATTGAAATAAAAAAATTCCCGAGAAAAATTAAATGATTATCAAATGGTGATGTTTAGGGTTTCACAAAACATTTTGGTCTCATAAACCTTACGTGTCTTTCTTATTCTAAACTTAAAAATTCTAAAATGTCTTCAATGTCTCAAACATCCCGAATATCGTCGGTACTTTCTTCCTCAACCGATACACGCTTAATTAAGCGTGTTTCGATTATAGAAAGGAATTTGAATAGGACGAGAGGGACAGAGGTAATTCGGCTCACATTTCCCTTCTCAATATCGAAATTTAACTAATAAACCTTGATGTCGTAGGTCGGACTTGGAGCTTTTGCATTTCTTTTCTCAGAAATGTTACAGTATGCTCAAAGGAGAGTACACGGAATTCAGGATCTTGAACGCAAGTTAGTTTAAAAAAGTTCCGTTATGATAGATAGATATATATATGCATATAATATTAATTCCGATTCATTATTAATAAGGTTGAATGATTTTGGATATCGAGTAGGAACTCGTCTTTTAGAACTGATTGTTTGGAGAGATAAAAATAGTAAGAGGGAGACGCGTGTTTTAGGTATATTATATTTTATTCATACTACGGTTTGGAAAACACTCTTTGGTAAACAAGCCGATACTTTAGAAAAGAGTACAGAGAATGAAAACGAATGTATCCTTTTGATATTATCGATTCTGAACTCAACAATATTCAGTAATTATAATGTCTTTAATAATTAAAAAATTAGACATGATTTCAGATAATGATCCTTTGATAAGTAAGTATATTTCGGTACCAAAAGAATTGTCTGAATTGAATTGTAATTCGTTCTTAGCAGGAATTGTTGAAGCAATTTTGGATGGATCTCAATTCGTAAGTAAATTAATTAAAAATCTTTTTTATAATTTCTCAAAAAGATGATGATAATGTAATGGTTTTTTTTTTTTGTTCGAAATTAGCCTTCTCGAGTTACTGCTCATTCATTACCAATTGATGGCTTCCCTTTACGTACAACTATATTCATTCAATTAGATAAAGAAATTCTACAAAGAGAGGATCAGCTCAAATAACAAAATATTCTATTTTAATTAATTAACTCTGCAAAGAACATAATGAACGTAATGAAAAATGTTTAATTTAAATATTATATAAACTTTCGAATAAATTGTATTTGTAAAAAATTATAGAATTTATTTTCTCTTCTTTGCAAGAGAAGCATTCTTTCCTTTACCTATGTTTTTTTCATTGAATTAAAATTTGACGAAAGAACCGAATATAACGAAAATTCGTTGCAAAAAGAAAAATTTAACGTACCTTTTTTTGGCGCACCTTTACCACGTTTCTTTCTCTTAGCAATTTCTTCCAACCGTAATTTTTCTTCTTGATCAACTAATTTCATGCTTGGAAACATATCAGTAATTTTACGTAAAGTTATTATTCTTTTCGGATACCATTCAACTATCGTAGGACCTATAAGTTTCTGACGAAGTATTTTGTTTCCTGTTCTTTCCCCCTTTGGATTGTATACATTATTAAAAATTTTAGCTGATAATTCCGCTAATTGTGCTAAACGCGTTTTATTTGGTTTTGGTAATATTGAAGCCATTATTTATTTTATCGTATAAAGATGAGTTTATGTCTCGTGGACAAAAATTGAAATAATGTGATGATTAATTATATAATTATTTTCTGCTTGGACATAATAAGTCTTTGAAGAAACACTAACGTTTAAATGTAAATTCCTTAATTAATAAATCCAAAAAAAAAAATTGTATAGTTTATATTAATAAATGAGCTAGGAAAAATCACATGCTGATCATATGATTTATAAAATTCCAGTTGTATATGTATAAAATAATATCAAGAAAAATATTGATATATTTATAACAATTTAAGTGCGTAATCTACATAAGTATTCAAGTGATATTTTTCAATAAATTGGTTCAATGCATCATTCTCTTTCCTGTAATCCTCTATTAAACATTTTATTTGTTCTTCATTCAAGAGAGGATACCATCTATGAAATTGCTCAACTGTGCTTGAGAAGAATGCTTCACCAGGAGGGTAGAACCATTGATATAACGGAATATCTAACAAAAAAAAAAAAAAAGTTAACTAGTGAAAGATAACATAACCAACCAAGAGTTAAATTAAAAGATGACATACCAACAGAATGGCTCACAATATTCAACGCATGATAAACATAAGTACTTTTAATGCGTTCGTTCACTTCTTCATCGGACATATTACTGGTATCTAATAAAATCTCCCAACTATTAATCATATCCACGATTTAATAAAATGGTTAAATAAGTCAAAGTAATCAAATCATCAAGATAAATAGGTGAAAATAATCTTATTTCTATTCATACTTGTCATTAAAGTAAATTCTCCGCCATATTGTTTGCAATATTGCACAACGATGATCTTCAGATAGCTATATACATTCAATATAATGAAAAGTAAGATAAAATTTTAAAATGGTAAATGAAAACTCAAATTTAACATTAATACTAAACCTTATTGTCATTAAGTGTAAATTGAAGTGCGAACGGAAAGTCATCCGGCAATTTTTTATCTTTAAGTGTCAAAACTTCAATCAATCCACTTGTTGAAACCTTTTCACCCTGTAAAATTTTGGTTACTTGCATTTTGTAAATCTGCAAGATCAAATTATAAATAAATACATCCAATTAGTACTTAACGTTCGGATTTAAATATTAAAATGCTTTTTTTTGTTATTAACAATAACCTGTGCTAAATCAGGCTTATAATTTTTCCAATTCCCCGCGGTCCCTTCCATAATCGCATTTACTTGTTCCGATTCTGTAGAATAATGCTGGCTCTGTGTAACTATAAACTTAACAAATTGTTCTTGTAAATCGGAATAAGCATTTAATAGCTCAAATCCGTTTTCAATTTCTAATAACGAGAGTATCGAACATGCAAATGCAGCAAAATTTAATATCCATTGCATAATACAACCACAATGAATTAATTATATGAATCATTACTTTATACCTTCCAAATTTCTTTGTACGTCTTCATTTTTAAAGTCGATTTCATCGCCAAGTTCAGCCAAAAAAGTTAACTTGCTTATACTAAGAAAGGTCTAAAAAAAAAAAAGGTTTTATAAGATATCAGCTAATAATATAGCCTAATTGTAACCTTTTTTTTTACCTTGCTTCGATCTACTCGGGGTTGGCCCTTTGCTAAATGACGCAACTTGATAGAAGCATCGCCGTACTGACTTAAATATATATCATGCGTCCAAGAAATACCCTTTAAATTACGCTCATTCAAGAATTTTTGAAGACTGTCTTTGTATTCATAAGCATGAGGTTGGCTTAATAAATCGGCATATAATTCTATTATTACAATTTTACAAAGTTTAATAAAGATTTTGATTCGTAAATGATGCATTACCAAATAATTCTACCAACCTTTTTCGATATACCACTCGTATAATGGATATTCAAACTTTTCTTGATATTTAATGATATATTTTTTTATATACTTGTTTGTACCTTGACCGTGATACATGATCAAGTCCACTAATATTTTATATTCCTCGTAAGTTTCACTAAGACTAAAAGCGCTATCACTTTTGCCAACATCAACTAAGATCGGAAATTTATCAATAAATGTGTATACTGTTTACAAATATATCGTGAAATAAAAAAAATTAAACGCATACCAAGACTTTTTAAAATAGTTATCCATTCATTACGATATTTTTGTGCACTTTCCCTAGTTATCGAATCGTCACTTAAAAGAATGAAGTTTCGCACCATTAGAAATGCAATAAACTACGCAACATTTAAATTTAATTAACTTACCAATTTAAACGTTCAGAGGTGGCCCCGAGCAGAATATCGGCCAAATTAACCAAATGATCTTTTAAAGTTTCAATTTTTTCACAATCATCTTGAATATCCGAAATTTGAATGATACCGGTAGTTTTTTCGAATTGCTGGTAAAGTACATTCAGAAGTTCAGGGTGAACTAACCAATATAAAATTATGAATCATTATTGTAATATCTAATTCGTTATTTGACATCAAATAAATAAATGATTACTAACAAGTCCAAGATTCCTCCAAACAATTTGAAGTGATGACATATAAATCCTTATTATTTCTTCTAAAGTTAAAAGCTGCTTCGAATGAAAGCTAAATAAAAAAAGACAAAGAGATATGCTGAAAAACATTATTGAATTTTCATCTTAACGTCCTTAACAAAACAATAAAACGTAATTTTTTAATTATTACCAAGATAATATTATTGGCTTCAGGAACTAATATACTACTGTCCTCTTGTAAAAGACAATTGCTAATTTCTCGCTCAATGTAAATGAAAGTAAAACCAATATCCCGTACCTAAAATTTGAACAAAGAATAACTATCTCAATATATCTCAAGATATATATTAATTCATTAATGGAATGAAATAAAACTTGCGTGAAAACGAAAGAAAAATCTGGCGATATCTTCGTTAGGTTTGATCTCAATGTTACGTTCTTGTAAATATTCTCGAATCGCGTTAACAAGTAATTTACGTCGAGATTCATCGATTTTGTTTTTTCTAGTATTTACGATGAATGAAGGAAAGAACTTTAAACTGACGATACCAAAAATTCAACTTACTAATAAATTATTACATACGAAGATAAGGAGGCATTATAATGCTCCCATAATTTTAGTGCACATGCCATTTTTTCTGCATTCCAAAATAAATGTTGACGAGTAGAAGGATATAACTAATCGTGAATAAGACCGAAAAATTTAAATTAAACAGATTCTCCAAAATAATATTAATAATAAATAAAATAAATGGTATACATTACTTCGTTAAGCATATTGCTAAATTTGATTACTTGAATAAGGAAGGACATTTTGTTAAATCTTTCATTAAGTTGTGATTTAAGTTCAATGAATTCGGACAAATATTGTGAACCTTAAATACGATATAATTATGAGAAAATGTATTGCATACAAAAGGATAGTTTTGTTATATAAATAAAATAGAATCATGTACAACTTACGTGAATCCAAAATTTCATCGCTAATTTCGATAGTCACAGCATTAATATCGCCACCATGTCCACGGGAGATATAATTTGTCACCGGCACCTAACAATAAATTCAGACATAGTGTTAAGTATTATATGATTTAAATAAGAATAGATATATAAAACCTTTTAATTAGTATCTAATAATTTAATGAACCGAATTACTTTGTCACTTGTATTAAATATTGCTTGCTCGAACATTTTTTTTAATTCACGGGTCTTCATTTCCTAGAATTAAAATTATTTACAGTAAGTTTTTGTTTGAGCGAATGAGTAAAGTGCAGAATAGCATGAGTAATCCACACCTCTGGATTATCGAGAATCATTTGATCATCAAACATTCTATAAAAAATATTTTAATAATTTAATAAGGTTAAAAATATATACCTATTATTTAAAGTCAATTAAACTTACTGAGTTTGAGGGTCCTTTTCCATTATCATCGCATGATTTAATATACATGTCATAATACCAGTTTTTGCTGTTAGTAGATCTATTCGACTTATAGAATCGGTATTTTTATTATGCCAAGACTTGGAGCCTTCACCACAACATCCAATGATTCGATCACCGACTGGATCTGACATGCTCACTATACCATTATAGCTAACATCTGTATAAAATTTTAAATGGTATTAATTATATTGCATTAAGTACCTTGAAAACCATAAAACCTCTCAACCTTTGAATATTGTTGTCATTATAATTAACTGCGGAAAAACTACGAAAACAGCTGGACCTCCGTTAGGCATTACTAAATGTGCTGGTGAACCAAATGAAAAGTTCTATAAAATTCAAAATAAAATCAAATTAATGTAATCGAAAACAATATAAATATAATATATATTTTTTATTTTAAAAAATAGTAACTTACACTTTGATTTTCAAGACCATGGATGCTGCTTACTTTGTAAATCACAGCATCTGAAAATTGTATTTCCTCAGTACTTAATACCACTAAAGAGTACGATAAATTTCTGTTCTCTACGATCTCATTTTGATTCGACCCAAAAGAGTAAGAAACAAGGATAACCAATTTGCCATTCCTATTTTATTTAAATGAATTGATCTTTAAATCTCAATTTTTTATATTTTATTTTTATATTTGTTTATAAATATAAGTGTGACTTATACCATGCAAATTCAATGTCCAGTAATCTTAAGTCCATTTGATCAGTCTCTTTCACTCTGCTATCATTCTGATAAATTTCTTGGATGATATTATTATATATATCTTGTCCTTGCACATACTTATATTAAAATAAAGATATGTTAAATTTGAATTAAAACAAACATTAGCTATTAACAGATAAATTGTAAATATTGTTAACCTTATTTGCCGAACGGACATTTCCAAAAACCCATCTCTCTATTGATTTGTCCATTAGCACATAAACTTCACTAGAATCAAAAAAAAAAAAAAAAAAAAAATAGCTTAGAAATTCGATTAGTGATAGTTAATATATCAATTATAAACTAACCTAAGCAAATTATTTTCAAGCCTATTTCCTAACGTTGAAGTGATAATGTTTCCTGTATCATATTTACTGCTTAACCAAAGGTATGAGCTAAAGTTTTCCATAATTCCCACGGAGCGTGATAATGAAGTAGAATGAAGTGTAGTACTTGCTCCCATTTTGGAGATATTAATACGATATAATACAGATTGTAAGGAGCCGAAAATTATAATACACGTATCTTGTGAAGACTGATGAGTCTATTAAAAGAGAGGTTAACATATAAACTTATTCAAGGAAAGAATGAAAAAAAAAAAATCTCGTACCTCATGACAAGCCAAGTGCGTTCCAAAATCTTCTTCTCTAAGATATACCTTCAGACTTAAATAATGATCTTGAAATATACTATCTCGTGTTATGTCTTCCCAATATCGAAATTCACCTTTGCGGGAACAAACAAGTAACCCAGGTCTTTGGCTTTGATTAGATGGTATAATGCATATCAATGGTAATTTATGATGATTACTTAAATCATCCAAAAATTCATCATCATCACAAATGGGCATTTTAAATTTGTATACAGGAGTATCGGTATCGAAAGGTTGCTAAAAAATAAAGATGAAATACGTATATTCCCTTGAATCGGATTAAATAAATCAATTGGCACTCTCTCACTTACCTTATCGACACCGCTATAATTCCATACAAAACAATGAGTCTGAGTTACCAATGCTGCATGTTCAGTACTCCAGTTAAGTACAACGTCGAATATCTCTAATAAAAACTCAAGTTATGAACAAAATAAAGTTTCTCTGACTTATCGAACAAACTAACAAGTATGTCTTAAAAAATGACGCGGCAAAATTAGTCGGACAGAAAAGACCCACCATTGCTTTGAGTCACTTCGTTTATTTCCTTAGGTAAAGAGCGTTTATGTATAATCGTATGTTTATCAAATTCCACAGTTTGAACTGGTGTTTCAGATTTATTTTCTGTAGAGGATAATGGGCCTGACATTTCGACGCGTGGAATATTTGAGAACGGGTACGTCAGTAAATTAATTCGCTTCAAGTTGTTAAAGACTATTTTTTTTGTACAACAAACTTATTACGGATAAATTTAATTGTTGCACAAATTATCAGCCAATTAAATTAAAATTCCCAAAAAACGAGATTTAATCCTCATATAAAGTTATTCTAAATAATACAAATCTATCAAGGGAAGTTTCTCTCGAGTATAATGTTATTTTTGTACACAATTCCTCGCGGTTTTTACTTATCAGATTTGCATAACGTATAGAAACATTGTTAAGAAAAACTAGAATTCAATTCAATTGAACGACAAAAATTTTGTCATTTTATGTAGGGTACGAGGAAAGATAGCAAGAGGCCTTTATAGTACTCGTCAGCCTTGAAGATTGCCTCTATTAAGTAGCTTTTATTTAAGGTGATGCTTGATGTTTCAATAGATACTGTTAGAAGTTCTTATTTTCAATAATTCTTATTTTAACTTATAGAGGATCGCATCCAACCTGCGGTGTTTTTTAATATTTTTTTGTCCTCCATTTGGATCTTATGTGTTATCTTTGACTGATAATTTTGTTCTGAGATCTTTGATATACATTTATTTAATGTTCAAAAAAAAAAAATTTAAATTTAAGAATTAAAGGTCATTTGGGGCTTCGTCAATAGAAACACATTTCTAACATAATAAATTATTAAGTAAGATGTGTTTCTATTGACGAAGCCCCATTTAATCTTTGATGATTTTATTAATTTTTAAAACATACATGATAAAAAAACTAAATATTGTAAAAAAAAAATACTATTCGAATTGTATATACAATACATGAAAAAAAATTGAACATTATTATTCCTTCTCGTCAAATACATTTTTACCATGATTTTTTATTTTTTTTCGAAACGTTGGTTTCATTTCTCTATTTCAACTATTTCACAACCCATTCCTTAGTAATCTTCATGGGTTCTTTAGCTCTTTGGGTTTCTGGGTTCGTTGGGTTCGTTGGTTTCGTTGGTTTCGTTGGATTCGTTGGATTCCTCCGAAGTTTTTAATTTTTTTCCGTTCGTCTAAATTTTTTGTTGGTTTAGTTTTTCTTAAATAAAAATATTTAAACACTTTATTGTAAACTTACATTCATCGGAAAAAAATTCGTAAATGGGGATCCCATTTACTAAAACTTCAAGTTGTTCTGATTTGTTATTTTTTTTTTTTTCTGACTTGTCTTTCTTGGCCTTTTTATTGAGGTAGAAGTAGACGGGATAATAGGAGTATTTAAAGAACAACTCGTAGCGTGGATAGAAACTTTAGTGTCTTTGGCAATAGTTGAAGTTATAGAAACGCTTTGGGGTTTATCGATAACCATTTCGGTTAGAACGAACAGTTATAGGAGTGATTAAGTGTAGATTTAAGTATAAAAAAAAATGACTTTGAAGAGCTGTTTTGAAAGTGTGAGAATCAAAATATAAAGAAATGTTCAAGCGCGTGACGTTTGCATATTTCTTAGCACTCTAGTTACACAAATTTCCTAATCTAGTAAGGAGATGATAACATTGATCGATCAATCAAAATCGTGAATTTTGATAATGTCCGTCACATTAAAAATTTGTAAATAGTAAATAACTAAAAGGTAATAAATTATATAAATCACTAAATAAAATAAATAACATTCAAAAATAATTCTTTTGCATGTTCTAATAAATTATCTACAGTTATCTATGTCATTCATATCATTTTCAGCTGTATTTTTACTATTCTTTCAACTGATTCTTGTTCACCTGATTTTTCCATTAATCTTATTATAAAAACATTGACGTTTTTCTTGAAAATATCCTAACCAAATCAAAACATTTTAAATTAACATCTTTGTAGATAATAATGTGAAAACAATATTATACAAATAATAAAAAAATGGTGATATTAGATTTTTTTGATAGTAACAAAGTCTTGTAAAAGATAATAATCAATTATTTATATATATGTGTTAATAATAATATCAGATGAAGATTTAATAACTTTAAAAAATTGATAAATCGATGATCATTTTGAAGTAAAAAAAATGGTTAAATTTGCCTGTTGATAAATTTTTGTAATTCTTTCCAATGGATAAACGTGAACAATCTCAAAGATTTAATAATGGTGTTAGTGAAATCATGCCAGAAATCAAAATACTATTACATAATGATGAATTCTTGGTTATCGATAAACCGTAAGTAAAATATAACAAAAGATTATCTTTGATTTTAATTTTGAAATTGATTAATATATTCCTTCTTGTCTATATAAGCTATGATGTTAGAATAGATGGTGATACATCGAAAGGACATACAGGTAATCAACATCATATTAACAACATTTATATAGATATTTTTCTAAGAATAATTTATCATTTTCTTAATAGTTTTATCACTTCTTTATAATCAAATTCCAAATTTACCAAAACCATTAAGAAATGTACATCAACTTGATCATTCAACATCAGGTTGTTACTGTTTGGCATTAACAAAAAAATCTGCTGGAATAGCGAGTGTTGCTTTCGCTAAACGTAGAGTTGATAAATATTATTTGGCCATTGTTAGAGGCTGGTTGAGAAATGATTGGTGAGTTCTATAATTTTTTTTTTTTTTTTTTGGTGAATGACGGGAAAACGCTCGTTAAAAAAAATAGATATGTATTATAAAGTTATGTAGTTGAACAACCTATTGCAGAAGTACCAAATAATAGATATCGAATGTGTATAGGTACAGAAGATAATCCAGGAAAGGTATCATATCAATATTCCTTTCTTATTTCAATTTAAGATCGTTTCATATTCTAATGTTTTTCGCATTATGAAAGTCTGCAAAAACAGAAATAAAAGTCCTCCGTCGAGGATATTTTCATGATAAACATAATTGCTCGTTGCCATCATCTCCATCAACAACGCCGACACAATCACCTTCAATTCAAAATATACGAGTAACGTTAGTTAGTCTTCATCCTATTACAGGTAGAAGACACCAATTAAGATTACATTGTCAATTCTTAAATCATCCTATTGTAGGTGATTGGCATTATGAGAGACAAATTATGAATTATACCGATACTTGGCGTATGATGTTACATGCTCAGAAATTAGTTATACCATTAAATAAAAATGATGAAGAAAAGGGAAAAGTTTTGGACGTCGATGCCGGTGATCCTTTTTCTGAATTTGTTGTTGATGAATTTAGAAACGTTGTTGTAGGTAACGTTGAAAACTGATTTAACGAAACAAAATAAATACAATAAAAACTTGCGTAAATTGTTCAATATGAACTTAATTATTTTATTCGTACTTTCGTACTTTTTTTTTGGAAAAATTCTACAATCCTCCAAGAATTAAAAATCTGATCAAAAAAAAAAAAAAAAAAAAAAATTTACCCGATCAGGAATTCTTAATTCTCTATAAATTATTCATTCAAAGGTTTGTTTCTTTCTTCCTTTTTTTTTTTTTTTTTTTTTTTGAAAGAAAAAATCATTCTCTTTATTTTGTGTTTCCATCAATTTCAATTTCTAATTTTTTATCAGAAATGAATTCTGTTGCCGTGATAAAACATTTACTATTCATATCGACCTCAATAGTAATATGAACTTTTAATTCATTAACTTTTTTTTCTGGCAAATCTTTTAAAACCATTTCAGCCAATAATTTATCTGCCACAGTTATAGGATATTGTGCTTTCATTTCACCTTCTTTCACCTCATTTTCATTTTCATTCTTATTTTCTTCCTCATCTTTCTTTTCTTCCTCCGGATGTTGATGTACACCTTCCCAAATAGCAATATATATTTCTTTTTGATTCTCTAAATAATTTGAAAAGGTAAAATTACGACGAACAGGTAAAGGAGTATTTTCCGGTATTAATGTTATAAATTCTTTTTTAGCATTTAAAATCCCAATTGATTTTAATAAATGTGGTACTAAGGTGATTGAAGTGTCAAAACTATCATTAATTAATTGATCTGCAAAGGTTGAAATTAATGAACCTTGGAACGCACAACCATATGCTACAACTTCATCAGGTTCAAAATCTTGACGAATTAATGTAGAGGAGTTTGCAAACATATCACGTATTTTCGATTGAAGTTTTGGAATACGTGAAGCGCCTCCAACAAGAATTACCTTTAAAAATCCAAAGGAAGAAAAGTCAGTTAAGGAAGTCTTCTTTTTTTTAAAAAAAAAACCCCCCTCTTTGAGGATTTACAAATCTTACCTCATCAATCGATTGAGGTTCTAAATCATTATTTTTTAATGCTTCAGAAATAATTTCCAAGGTTCTGGAAAATAATTTATTTGCCATGATTTCAAATCTTGTCCTATTTATAGTTCCATGAAAGTCAATACCTTCAGCTAAAGACTCGACAGAACACGTAGATGTTGAACTAGAAGATAAGGTCTTCTTTGTTATTTCGACAGCATTTCTCAGTTTAACTAATGACCTTTTATTATCCATAACATCAATTTTGGTTTTTCTTTTAAATTCATTAGCAAAATGCTTTGCCAATAACTCATCGAAAGCAGCACCACCAAGATCAGGATCATGGGTTGTTCCCAATATCGTATACATTCCTGATCTAACCGACATTACTGAAACATCTAAACTATCGGACCCCAAGTCCACAATCACATCAATTCTATCATTATATTTATTCGTAGTAATTGGATTTTGTCCACTGATTACAACATTTCCTATTTCATACGCTAATGCTGCCGCACTTGGTTCATTAATTAATTGCATTACTCTTAACCCAGCCTTTTCAGTTGCAATCCTTAATGAATTTTTTTGTTCTTCATCAAAATAAGTTGGAATTGCAAGTACGGCTCCCATAACTGATTGACCTAAAAAATTTTCCGCACTTTCTCTTAAACTCGCGATAAACTTTGTGCATGCTTCTTGTGCTGTTACTATTGTTTCTTCTTCTTTAAATTCTACTTGATATGCTGCCTGTCCATCTTTATCAACTAGTTTCGCCGTACCCGTACTTGCTATAGATTTACATTCCTCATAACTTTATGTAAAAAAAAAAAAAAAAAAAGAGTTTTAATGCATTGACAACCTTTTTTTTTTAAACAAATTTAAAAGTAATTTTTAAAAATAAAACGTACCTCTTCCCAATAAAATTGCGAAATTGGGTAATAGTGTTTTTTGAATTACTTAATAATTGTACTTTAGCTTGAGTTCCTGTAAGCTTACAGGAATGAATTCGATTTTACAATGAAATTATAAGGATTGTATTATGATTCGATTTATAAATTATTCCTGGTAAACTTACTTCTTCATCCCCAGAAAACGCTACCATTGTAGGTATCTGACGTTCTCCATCCTCATTAGCAATACAATCTGCTCTTTCGTCCTTGAACAAATGAATAAATTTTTATAATAAATCGAAATATTCTTTTTAAAATTTAATTAACCTTTTTAATTTAAATAAAAATATTACCTTATTGATAATCGCAATGCTAGAATAACTTTGACCTATCCTTAGACCGATAATAACTGGTTTAGAACCCATTGCTGAAGGCATAATAATAAATGGAACTCGAAACAGTAAGAAACAATTATTATTTTTATAGGTAAAATTTTTCCATGATTTATATAAATTTTTTTTTTGGAATGAAAAATGATTTTAACGTTTTATTGGTTATAAATCCTGTACTTTGCGTAACACATACATAAATAAATCAGATTGATAATTTCGCGTCCTTTGTAAAAACAATTTCTAATATTTTATATTTAATAAATCAAGAGATCGGAAAAAAAAAAAAAAAAAAAAAAAAAGATTTCTGTTAAAAATAAATTGTTTCAATACATTTTTCCTCTTTAATTTACGAATAAAAATAACAATTTGTACCATAATAAATTTGAATTAAAATAATTATCTTGTTGGCGATGATATATTTTCCTTGGAGTCTCTTTCAATAAATTATTATTATGACAAATTCTTTTACAAGAAAAATCGGTCGAAACATGAATTATTTCGTCCGACATTTAGTTTAAGCCTTGGCTTTTCCTTTTCCATCTTCTAATGATAAAGTTTCCAAATCATTCTTTTCATTTATCTCATCATCATCTTCCATCGGTTCATCTTCCTCAACAACTTCATCATAAGGATCCGGATATTCCACAGCAACGTTCTCCCATTGATCTTTTATATTGAAATCATTTAATGAATACAAGCTCATTGCTTTTACAATTAAATCAGCAAAGACTTTCATTATAACATACCTAAGTTATCATCCCAAAAACATAAAAATAAAATCTGTTCATCCTTTAGTCCTAACTGATTAACGGTATCTTCGTCTTTATCCAAAATAGAATAAGAAAGTTGTGACTCTGAATCATCAGTAGATATCAGTAATTGTAATTTTTTTGGGTCTCTTTTTTCAGAATCTCCTAATACTTTTATAATATTTTTCTTTAAAGTCAGTATCTTATCAGTTATCTTAGCTTGTAGAAATATAGTGGTTTTATGGCGTTTGACGCGAAAGTAAATTTGATTTGCGGGATTCTATTTGAAAAAAAAAAAAGTTGATATAAACGGAGGGGTAAAGAAAGAAGAGGAAAGTAAGAAAGGGGGAAACAAATAAGAATGTATGTAAAAATAAAACAAGATAGAAATGAAAAAATATATTACCCTATGCGACATTGTAGAAGTTTTAAATGTGGTGAAATCGATTTCGGTGAATGGTTATCCAGATCTGCAAACGTATTGAAGTTACACGGCAGTTTGTTTGATTTGATTTCTACGAGTTACCTCGCGTCATTTTCCCAATTTTTTTTTTTCACAATGACTTCTTCACACGTCTTAAATGTGGCTTTTGTACATCCAGACCTTGGCATAGGTAACATATTCCCTGAACATGATTTTGCTTTCGTATAACTTTTGCTTTTATTTAATTTATTGTAAAATACCATATAGGTGGTGCGGAACGATTGGTAGTTGACGCGGCTACTGGTTTACAAACGAAAGGTCATAAAATCGTTATATACACTTCTCACCACGATCCAACACATTGTTTTAAGGAAACTAAAGATGGTACACTTGATGTCCGAGTACGCGGAAATTATATTATACCACGTACTTTCTTTGGATCCTTCTATATCATTTGTGCTATATTAAGACAAATTCATTTAACCCTTTCGATGATATTTTGGGATGGAACGAAATATGATGTTATATTTGTGGATCAATTATCTGCAAGTGTACCATTATTAAGGTTAACTGGTGCAAAGGTATGATAATTTTAATCATTTTCCCTAAGTTCACCCAAAAACTTGGTTTCACCATTCTTTTTAAATTCTTTTAAATAGATTTTATTTTATTGTCATTTTCCAGATAAATTATTAACAAAAAGGGAATCAATACTGAAAAAAATTTATAGGTATCCCGTTGATCTTATGGAGGAACTGACAACTGGTGAGTTTAATTTATTTTATTTTGCATATTTAAGGTTTATTAGATATATAATGTATTATGACTTTAAAATATTAGGTATGGCGGATTGCGTAGTCGTTAATAGCAATTTCACTGCGAATATCTTTCGAGAATCGTTTCCTCGTATAAAACATGTACCGCGGGTTCTTTATCCAGGAATATATTTCGATTCATATGATAAGAAAGTAGATTTGGAAGATATGTCCGTTAAAATATTAGAAACGTAAGTATCATTAATTTTTTTTTTTTTTTTTAATAGAGATGAAAATAATCACACTATTCATATTTTTAAGGACGAAAAAATTTATACTATCGATTAATCGATTTGAGAGGAAAAAGAATATCGCGCTTGCTATCTACGCTTTTGCAAAATTACGCGACGATAATTTAGCTTCATGCGATCAATTTAATAATTTACGATTAATCATTGCTGGTGGATATGATCATCGCGTTCAAGAAAATGTGAATCATCATAAAGAGTTAAATCAAAAGGCATTGCAATTAGGATTGATGACTTATACATTAATGCCAGGTTCAACCAAATTACCACCAGAAAACGCTCAAGTTATTTTCTTATGTTCTTTTAATGATACTCAGCGAACTTTTTTACTTTCAAGAGCATTATGTCTTTTATATACTCCATCAAATGAACATTTTGGAATTGTGCCTGTAGAAGCTATGTATGCTCGTTTACCAGTTATAGCAGTTAACAACGGTGGCCCAAAGGAAACAGTAAATGATCGCGTTACGGGATTCCTTTGTTCATCTACTCCCATGGCATTTTCAGAGGCCATCGCTTCGTTTATTAGTGGTAAATTTGATCGTGATTATATGGGTGAGCAAGGAAGAAAACACGTTCAAAAATTATTTTCCTTGGAAGCCTTCGTTAGTACTCTTGAAGAGATTCTCTTACAATTAGTGACAGTTCCTCCTTCATCTTTGTTTAACCCTTTACCATGGCTCCCATTAGTTATAATTTTAATTTTATATTCTATTTATCAACTTTTTTAAACTTTGACGACTTTAATCAAAAGGATAACTATTAAAATTTGGCAGATTTACCTCGAAAATTTTCAACATTCCATATCTATTATATGAGGTTATTCTTTTTTTTTCTTCTTCAAGTTTTATTAGAATTAATACAAAATTTAATTAAAGGTACTTTGTTCAACAAATATTTGTTGCGTCATTTATCTTGCCTTGTATAAATCTATGTTAATTATTATAAATTTAAGTTTCTTGTGATATGTGTATAATGCCGAATGAGTATTATTATGAAAATTAAATTTCTTATAAAACATTAAAGAATCGATCGAACCCATTAACGGGTCTTGGATTTTCCTCTTCCACCGCCAACGCCACTGCCACCACTACCTCCACGTCCACTAGAGCTTCCGCCTCTGCTTCCTCCTATAAAACGTAATTATTAATTTAGTTTTAAAAAGGTAGGAAAATAAAGGAAAATAAAGGAGCGAACCTCGTCCAATATTGCCACCACGAGAACTTCCACCTGTTAATTATACATCATCAAGGAAAATTTATCAATAAAAGATCAAATTTGAATAACAGGACGGCATTCGATTGATAAGAATTACTTACGCCCTCGATTTCCACCGCTTGCCGCTTGCCTTTGACGTATGGCATCTTCCTTTACCATCTCTATAATCTACAATAAAAAAAATTTATAATTTTCTAAAACAAAAATTTCTAAATCAATTACAAAAAGATTACATACCTCATCTGGTACACGTAAGTATTTAATCTAATTTTTATAAAAAGAAAGAGATTAACACGGAAAATTACATAATTAAATAAAAAAAATTTATTAATGATTACCGTGTTCCCTCTGATATAACATTCAGGTAATCGCCAAAACCTATCTCCTTCCTATGCGAATAAATCGATTAATTGAATCGAGTTCAAACATGAGATGATTTCAAAGGATTACAGTAAAATATTCTTACCGGAGAAGTTTGTATAACTTCCCGTAAAGTTAAATTCATCCAATTATCACAATTTACTAAATGTCCATTAAAAGTTTCTCCATTTTTTAATTCTACCAACTAATTAAAAAAAAAGAAGAATGAATCGCTCAATTAGACCACTAGTTTAATTGATGATAAATTAAAATTACATACCATAGGATGCCCTTGGGCTGTGTTTAACAAAGAAAGTGGCAACTGTAAGTTTTTCCGGTTCAAATTTTATATAGATCAAATTTCAAAGTATTAAATATAAAAACTATTAAACGTGTAATAATTGTAAATCAACAAGATTTTATAATAATAATAAAATAATAAAATACCATTATGAAAAATAAAATAATGTTCTAAACGCGACCCTAATGAAAAAAAGAAAGAAAATCGATGAATTTTTTGGTTTACGAAAAAAAAAAAAAGCAAAAATTCTAATTGGCTGAGACATAACCATCATACTAAAATTCAGAATGATCATAGTACTTGAACAATGCGATTTGAAATAACGCTTCTCCATTCAAAGTTTAAAAGGTTTAAGGATCTAACCAAAATAGGGTAATGTGATTTTCTTGAAATGGCGATACATCTATGCCACACATGATGACTAATTTTGGTTCATACTCGAAATTACTGATAATCTCATAAAAAAAATTTGTATTTAACTGATGACACTGCCACTTTGATTAAAAAAAAAAAAATAAAGAAAAATTTTTTCGTTTTTACTTTTAAAAAAAGAATAAAAAGAATAAATATGCCAAATAATCTAATTTTTCGTGAGGGTGTGTGAAGAAATTTAACTTTTCTTTAAAATAAAGAATGTTTCAATTTATCTAATTTATGGAAATCTTATTTTTGTCCTTTAGCTCTCAATGAGCTCGATGATAAACGTATTAAACAAATTAAGCCTCTCATACCACCTCAAATTTTGATGGAAGACTCTCCATTGACTTTACAAGCAGCTCAAAGTGTCATAATCGGTCGTGCAAATGCCGAGAAGGTTATAAAAGGGCAAGACGATAGACTGCTTGTAATCGTTGGACCTTGTTCCGTTCACGATGTCAAAGCTGCCATTGAATACGGTCCATATTAAATCTATCTTTATTACAATTAGTGAATATTTCAATGCAATGGTAAACTAAATTTTTCCATTTTCGCATATTAGCCGGAAGGTTAAAAGCTTATGCTTCCGAAGCAAGTGATGACCTTTTTATCATCATGCGAGTTTATTTTGAAAAACCAAGAACCACAGTAGGTTGGAAAGGATTAATCAATGATCCTCATTTAAACAATAGGTACAAGTGATTAACAAACTTATATTAAGAATGTTTAATTTAAATTTTAAACTAAACTGTTACGTTGATTTAAAAATTTTGACAGCTTCCAAATTAATAAAGGATTACGTATTGCCCGCAACCTATTGCTGGAAATAGTACGCGTTATATTCATGTTGCTCTTGCACTGTGGCTTTTAAAATATCATGTGATTGACATCTTTATTAATTTTTTGCAATAAATTAGAATCAAATGGGTGTTCCATGTGGATGTGAATTTCTTGACACAATTACCCCTCAATACTTAGCAGATTTGGTTTCTTGGGGTGAGTTGAATGACCAGATTCGAATGTTTTTTTTATTTTACATATATTAAATTCCGATTTTCCTCCAAGGAGCAATTGGTGCTAGAACAACAGAATCTCAAGTTCATCGTGAACTTGCCTCCGGTTTATCTGTCCCGGTTGGTTTCAAAAATGGTATATTAACTAATTCATCTCACCAACCTTCATAAAAAAGGAGAGAAAACAAATTATGAAAAATTTTAAAATTACCTTTTTTTTAAAAAAATTTCCCTTATAGGAACTGATGGAAACATAGCAATCGCTGTCGATGCCATAAAGGCTGCTGGCAGCGGTCATCACTTTTTATCGGTCACCAAACAAGGATTAAGCGCAATTGTAGCAACAGATGTAATTATCTTAAGCTTTAAAGGAAAGATTTTTATGTTTTTAAATTAATTTGTTATGATTTGTAAATTAGGGTAATGATTGCTGCCACGTTATCCTAAGAGGAGGTGCCAAAGGGCCAAATTATTCGGCTGAAAACGTTCAAGAAGTGGCTCAAAAGTTAGAGGCAGCAAAATTACCTACTCGCATAATGATTGATTGCAGTCATGGCAACAGTCAAAAAGTATTCAGTCGACAAGTTGATGTGGCTAAAGATATTGTAAGTTCCATTCGAAATCGTAATATTTTTAAGAGATATAACTAACAATTCCCCATTTAAAAAGGCCGAACAATTAAAATCATCACCAACGGGGCAACATATTCTCGGTGTAATGATAGAAAGTCATTTGAAAGAAGGTAAATGATGATAACTTGATGAATTTTCAAATAAATCTTTTAATTCTTATTTCAATCGAAATACTCTTGTAGGGAATCAAAATCTTCCAATAGAAGGTCCCTTTAATCTTACTTACGGACAATCTATTACAGATGGATGTATTAGTTGGGAAGCCACAATTCAAGTCTTGGATATATTACGTGAAGGTGTTCGTGCGAGGAGAGTACGTAATGGTCAAAATGGAAATTCACATGGAACTTATAATGGATAAAAATTTATTTAATTTGTAATTAAATGATATATATATATATTAAAATTATAAAATGATGTGGTTGTGATGACACGAAAAAATCTTTAACATACTGATAAATAAATGTTTCAATAAAAATCATACAATAACTATTTTATATCACTTTTTGTAAAAATGGTATTAATAAAAAAATCTGTATACATGTGATATCTCTCAACTATCACACGGAAACATTAATGATCGCGCTTAAATGATTGAATAATTTTCAGTTTGGTTAAGATGAATTTTTCTGATATAATTAAAGAAATTCTAGTTGAGAAAGCGCAACAGGATTCAAATGATCCATTATCATGGCCATCATTATGTAAAGAATTATTACAAGAAAAAGATCAAGTAAAAATATCAATTTAGAGTAGTTACCCTTTTGTTTTGTCTTTTTTTTATTCAACTTCATTTTTAATTTTCTTAGACCGAAGAAATGTTTGATGAGATTACATTGCACTTATTTGATTGTATAACATCCATTTTAAACGCAAATAATGCTGATGATTCAAAACGAAAAAATTCAAGGTTTAGCAAGGGAATTCTTGAGAGACCATTTTACTTAGCATTTGTTGAAATGCTTGATAGATGTCTAGAAAATGGTGAATTTCCGACACATTTAAAAAAAAGTCGATTATTCATGTTGGAAAATAAAAATTTATCAAGGTAAAACTTTTATTACCTATATTATCAAAACTTGAAAAAGTTAATCGAAAATTAATCGTTGATTTATCGAAAAAGACTAGGTTGGAACAAATCGAAAATGAAATGAAACGTACCAATTTACCTCCACCTGGCTCATCACAGTTTAATGAATCACATAAAAAAATACTTCAGGAATTTCTATTTACATTTTTAAATCCAAAGGATTTAAATACCTTTTTAGGATTACGTACAACGATAGGATCTTCTAGTCAATTACCTCCTTCTTTAAACGAATGTCTAAATTCGTTTACTACAAATTATATTAAAAAGAATGCTAAACCTTTACGTAAAGGTTTGGTTATTAAAAATTCTCTTACCGTAGGTGCTAAAGCTCTTTCTAAACATTTTCATAGAGATGTTTCAAATTCCTTTTGGGGAATTTGTAGTGGAAGTAAGTTAAAGGAATTTGAGATAGTGATTGAAGTTTGAATTGATTTTTTTTTTTAAATCAAATTTATTTTTTATCTTTAGCTGAAAAACAGAAAAATGAGCAAGCTAATCAAGTTTTAGCAAAAATTTTAACTGACGTTGCATGGATAAATCTACATTCAATGGTGGTATGTTGGAACTTATAATTTTTCTTTTTCTCAAATTTCATTAAAATTAATATTGCGATCATATTTTTTTTTTATATAGCATGATACACGCGTCTTTGAGATTCGTAATTCAGATGGTTATGGGGCTCGTTGGGAAATTCAAGGTCCTAACACACAACAACTATCTTCTCAACAACCTCAGCTAATTACTCCTTCATCTAACGCGAGTGATAATAAATCAAGAATAATGTTTCGTGGTTTTTTAGAACCTCAAATGAAAGACGGCCATATTAAAAGATGGATCCATTAAGTAAATTATAACTATATATTGTAATTAAATCAATTATCGATACTCTAAATCCAATATATTTCGAAATGATGATGTTTTTTAAGAGTATGCATCGGAAAATAAAGTTTTCTAAAATCTAATTCTTTTTCATGATGCGATCATACGTTGCTCAAATAAAATAGATTATGTTTTTATTTCAATGATCATATTGCAAATTTTGTTTTCCCGTTGGTTTCCTCCCTTTCTATTGCAAAGCGTCCATATAATAAAATTTTAACTTAAAAATAAGGTAACATAACTTCAACCAAAACAAAATTTTTAGTTAATAAAATTATAAAATTACAGGATATATGTAATTGTAATTTCATTAATATCTTACTTATTAATTTACTATATTATATATGATGTGTTTTTATATAATGATTAAAAAGTACTTTTGAATTAATAATATCTATTATTTGAAATTTTTATAAATGTATGCTTATATATATACATCTATCTAAATTTATACAAACTTATATAAACTATAAATTTACATAACTATATAAATATATGAGATTTATAAACTTTATAAACTTATGTAACCTATATATTAAAAACTTATATAATTTATATATAAATATATAAATTTTTATTTAAAAAGTTTTACCAATAAACTTTAATTAAATTATAAATACAAAAGATTATAAAAATTTTATTATTTATTATTTAATAAAAATACTGCAATTTATGTGATATATTAGCCCTGTTCAAAATCGTTTAGTCATGCTTTTCGATCAGTCAGCAATAAAGCAATCTTATTGGTAAAAAAAGTTCAATCCAAAAAACCTAAAAAAATATTGGTCTAAAAAATCAGTCGCACAAACAGATCTAACCAATTAAATTAAACCATAACTGACTGAAAAATGTGACCAAACAGGATTATTAGCCCTGTTTAAAATTCATAGGAGGACTTTCATATGATTGGCGATCGATTTCATTTGAATTTATACAGTTTAGAGTACTTTTTGTGATTCTAATAATCTACTTAATAAAAGAAGTAAAAATTTTATCTTTGACTCTAAAACAGCTTTAAAACTCACCTTGCAAAAGAATCTTAAAAAAATCTAAAACCTAAGAGTATTTTGTTTAAGAGACAAAAATACCTCTATCTGAACCATACATAATTACTATATGCTAAAAATAGTACACTAACTGAAAGAAAGTAACTGAGTATATTCTTTCTAAAGGTCAAACTAACTATACTTTACCAGATTATGTCTATTTAAGTAATACAATATGTTTAAATTATTACAATGAAATTGTAACAAGAAACTCAACTGAATTCTGACAATATATTTAAACAAGCACAGCACTAATTTTAGAACAATCTCAACCTTCATAGCCTCTATCTCCACCTCCTTAACCTCAATCTCAACCTTCTCAGTCAATGCTACCCTTACCTTCTATTATATCCTTTCTGAAGTAATTAAAATAATAACTAACATTTTATATAATTATGAAAATAGGAAAAAGAAATCAACAATATATTCTTTTGATGAATTTTACACAATTATAAAGGAGTAAGATGCAAAGTTAAAGGGTTTTTTTTGACAAATTATATCTTTTATCTAACCTTTCTTCAAAAAATAAAAGGTCATAAGCATAGGCAAAAAAGCAACTCCTATTACATACTACTTTCTTTGCGAAATTTATAATAAGTTTATTAATAATACAAAGAAAGATTTGACTGTGTATTTGGATTTTACCAGTATTCTAATACCTTTATAGATACTCTTGCTAATTTAAGCATAACTATAACATCTCATACAATTACATAATATAAAGTTACTATCTGATGAATATGCTAGAACTGTTTTCTTTGCATATTTCACAAGCGTAAAATTGACAATGGTATTAAACATCAATGATTATCATAGTATTTATAAAAAATGGATGCTAAACATAAATATAAATTCTACTGCAATGCATTTGGCAACAATCTTGATGAATCTGATCATTATACAGAGTACAATTCTAAGTATAAATATACATAATCCTAATTTGATTGACATAGAGTTGATAAAACTAAATCTAAATAATAGATTTATAAAGCTTCTCAGTTTTTCGCATAATCAATATTAGGAATTCTGTTCAATAAATGATAATACTAAATTGGATGAATTTACTGTACATAGTTATGACACTAGGTTGAAAGAAAAATGAGATGCTCATTTAATGTAAGATATTGTCCTTATAGATTTGCAAGAAAATAATCTCTATTCTTTAAATGCATATATCAAGACTATTAATAATGTTATAAATGTTCTATCTATACAACAGTATATTCAAAAGAAATATATTATACTTATCGTCACTGATTAGTCTAAATAAATCTACCTTTAGATAGCTATTTTTCAATTTATATTATATTATAATCAATTGAATATTACTAATTCTATTCTATTATTTATTTCTATTATAGATCTCTTGTATATCTTATTAAAAAGTTGAGAGCTAATATTCCTTTAATATCAGCCATTTTTTTGACTATGTATAAATACATTTTTGGAGAACGAAGTCTTCTTGCACAAAAGTCTAAGTCATAGCATATTAATTTTCTTTTAGAGATTTCTTATGATACTTGGCAGAAAGTTTCAAAAAATGTTGAAGTAAAATTTGGATTGTGTAAAAATGCTGAATATCTTATACTAAAAGATTTGCTTGATAACTAATCCCTCTGATTCTGAATATTTACGCAGTATTTTTCTGATTTGATGACTTTGATGCTTATCTAGAATTATGTTTTTATGTATAAGTGTTATTTCTTAAATTCTATCATAAAAACTATACTAAAGGACTATTGATATTTCTTTCAAATATATTTTATTAGAAGTTAAGTAATCATCCTGCTCTAAAGATCATTAAAGCTGAACTTCTAAAGTTTTCAAATTTAACCATTAAAATATTTCATAGCTTTTTATGCTGAAGCACACAAAATATATTGAAGTACAGCAGATTATTAAATATAATCATTATATCAATTGATTCTACCTGAATGATAATAGATTTAGAGAAAATATTGCGCATATATTTACATAGGTTGCCTATAAATATTTTATTTAAGATATTACTTTTTTAATAAAAAAGAGCATATGTTTTCTTTTACAATATTTTTCAAAAATTTATATATACATCTTTTATAATAAATCACCATTAATATTTCATTATAGATTATTGTAAATACAGGTTCATCTTCAAAGAAAAAATAGAAATGAATAAAATTGTTGTTTCTTTAATAGCAATAAAAATGCTGAAAATATGATTATATCATCTTCCACTAAGATTTAATACTTTATAAAAATCAGATCTATTCTATTATTGTGATATATCTAACTGTTCTATTTTTTCATTAATCAATACAGAACTAATTAAAGTTTTGGCTTACAGTCACACTTATCATAAATCTTGCTATATTAATAATAGGTTTAAATGTTTATATTATTTCTTATTCTTACAAAATGATATTGATAAAAATGTTCAATTCTTATTAAAACATTTATAATGTTTTAAAGAAGAATCACAAATAGAAGTTAAAGATTCAAAAATAATATTTCATGTGATGATAATGATAAAAGTGAACTTGTAGAATATGTGATGTTAATATTAGAAGAAGCATTACAGAAATTTCAATAACAATAAAATATTTTACTTTTTTTTTATTATTATATATAAATTAATAAATTAAACTATTTATTTTATTGAATACTCTTGATTTTATTGAACATTTTTGATTTAATATATAATATTCAAATAGTTTAAATATAATATTATTAGTTTATTTTAATATTATAATATCACGTAACATATATAAATATTTATAAAAATTTATGTAATCTAATCGGCCAATTATATGAAAGTCTTCCTATGAGTTTTTCAATCAGTTGTAGTTTAATTTGATTGGCCAGATCTGCTTGCATTTATTTGCGCAACTGATCTTTTAGACTAATATTTTTTTAGGTTTTTTGGGTTGAACATTTTTCTACTAATAAGGTTGCTTTATTGCTGACCAATTGAAAATGCAACTAAACGATTTTGAACAAGACTATTAGGCCTATTTATTTCTGATTATTCAGGTTTTTGGTCACAAAATCCATTAAACATTCTAAATATATAATCAAACTCAGAATTCAGTTAGAGATTTCTGATTGCAAAAATTTCAACAAAAATAAATCAACCATTTGTTTTTGTTATGTGATTAAAAAAATCCACCTTTTTATTGTTCAGAAAAATCAAATTGTTGATTGAGTTACACAATTTCACCTGCCAATAATTATTAACTCAAAACCTGATCAAAAATCTAAACGATTAGAATTAAACAGGCCTATTGTAACATATGTTTAAATATTTACCCTCAATTCATAATATTTGTGCTTTATTAACCAAAACGATGCCTACCAATTAAAGTATTTACTTTAATAAAACAAATCCTGAAGATTACCATTTTCTGGATTTTTACGAGTACTATTCAAAGCAAGTTGACTTTACTTTTTCTTTTATAAAAGAGGCATATAAGTTGCAAATGGATCTTGATTTTATTGCAGAAGATGACTCAAAGGAAATGAAGGAAGTTGCAATTCAAATAAAAATATTATTAAGGTATTTATTTGAGTTTTATATTATTGTTTATTATATAGTTCAGCAGAAGGGTCTCTCATAGTTACAATAATAATGGAATGTTATTTACCTTATAGATATAATATCTGCTATGAGAAATTGAACTCTTTACAACTACGATGAAAAATAGAATATTGTAAATCTTATAGATAGAATGTCCATTGTACTTAGTATATTAATTCTATGTGAACTAGTCAGATTATACTTTTATTAATATTAATTTTGTTAATTTATTATTATTTTTGAAAGCCATCACAAAATTCTTAATGATATCGATATTTTTTAAAAAAGAATCAAACTGAATATTAAGCAACAGAATCAGCTACAAAATGTAAAGGTTGTAGTTTTTCTTGTATATTTTATAAATTTGGAATTTATATTAATTGTATTTTATTTTATTGATTACAAATTGAGAGTATTAGCTCATTGATAAGCACTTTCGCAGAGACCCTTAAAACTGCAATTAGAAATATTAATAATACATTAATATGAAATATTGTTAGCAATTAAATATTTTTTTATTATGCTAATGATATTCACAAAAATTATCAAAAAATCAGATTGATAACTCAATGTCTGAAGAATTACCATCAACTTCTCTGAATAAAGTTAGTATGTAATTAAATTTATGAATAAGAATATCATTTAATTTCTAACTTCCTTTAAAATGCACAGACTAAAATGTAATCAAATTTACACATTATCTTTTACAATTTCTTTTAGAAAAATGAATGTTTTACGACTGAGACTGGTGAAAAATCACCTGCCAAATCTAATTTGAAAGAAAGGAATATAAAATCAAATGACAAAAAGATCACAGACGTATTTTGACATTACTGTCTTTTATATATAATAACTATATACATCCGAAAATGCCTTTCTAACTTATTTTTTTATGATCTTCCTTAGAAAGAACTTGTGAAATAGTATAGTTTCAGAGAATAAAAAAAAATCAATTATAATGAAATTTCAGATTCAGACATAGATCCATATTATATAATTATTTTTGTTAGTTTTTCTTTGTAATAAAAAATATACAATTCTAATATTTTTTTATTTTGTTATTTTAGAATCTGTCAAGCATTAAGCATTTGAACATAAATTTTTATCTAACAACCTGAATAACTCAATTGCATTATTAAATAGGCTAATTATAATGGAAACAACATATAACTTAATCTCTACACACATAATTTGCATGTTCAATTTAACGTTACATTTGGTCAAGAAATCTGTTGAGAAAAGTTTATTTAAGAAGATCAAAAAGATTCTTAAAATAAAGAACAAATTGATTTTAGATAGATCAATAATCCTGAAATTGGAGGCAATTTTTCAAACAGACTATGCAGAAATTAGCTTGAAAAATAATAACAGAAACCAAAATTGAAAAAAATATTAAAGAGAACAAAAAATCATGATTTCTCTTTTTTATCTAACATATTCTTCTAGATTTCATTGCGATGTTTAAATATATGTTGCCTAAAGTGTTAGCTCAAAATATATCTGAAAAGTCATATATTATAAAATGTCTTCACCCATACTTCGATCTTTTAGAAATGCATTTTCTGAAATAAAATATAAGCAGATTAAAAAGGATGTCAAATCTATAAGGAATGCGAATAATATGTTTGCAATTAACATAAAGACTTAAAAAACTGATTTGTTAGTTCTGAAACTATTAGATATAACTGAAATTCTATATGTTAAAGTATCTAAACTACTTTATAAACTAGAAAAAAACATACAGTCAGAGATGCAAAAAATTACTAATGATAGCTGTTTATAATTTATATAAAATATTGGTAAATAATTTCAATTGTCTAATTAAAATTGCTAAGAAAATCAGATTGTATAGTATATAAGCAATTGGAGATAAATTAAACATTATTTACTATATCACTTGTTAAAATAAAAAAATATTTGGCTATCGAATTGGCTTTGTGCATAATTTTTTATTCATTTAAAACTATTGGATGTTACATAAAAATCTTTAATTTTTTCAAGATAATAAGAAACAAGTTTGTTAAACAAGAAAAACTTCTAGAAAAAATTTGTTCTTTTATGCTTTTAATCAATGATGATACCAGTAACCTATAAGAGTAGATATATTTACTGAATAATGATCTAATATTTGTAACAGAAAAAAAATAAATAAACTCTCTTTAAATATTACTTAATAAAATTAAATAATAGATCAGAATAAAACTTTTTATTATAAAATTGAATAGAATGTACATATATTTTCTTTTATGTAAAATTTATTTGTTGCAAGTTATTAAATTTAATTCTAATACATGAAATCATCTTTTTAGCTTCATAATTATATGTTGTGATTCTAATCATTATTTATAATAATAAATAATATTTGAATAATTTACATTTATATAAAAGTTATCATTAAATATGCAATCTGAACTAGATTTATTAAAACAAGAGAATGTCAGACTTATGGATAAAATCATGGATTTGAAAAAGATCGTGAAAGAAAAAATAAGCTTGAGATTAGAATAGCAGAATTAGAATAAACTACAAAGCTAAATCAAACAGAAAATGCTGAACTCAAGAATAAAATTGCAGAATTAAAATGATCTGTTAAGAATATTGAGAAGCAAAATTGAATAGTTACTAATGGTTTAAAATCTCCAGAAAATTCTATCTCATTGCCTAACAATAATTGTGAAAATACATAGTTTATAGATGAGTTAAAGACTCAGAACTTTATCTCCTCTTTATCTCATCATAAAGCGGATCAATCTATAACTAGTATTGACTTAGTAACTTTAGACATTCATAATAGGTTAATACAATTTCTAATGCATTTAATCTTAGTGAAACTTGCTCTGGAAAATCTAAATCATTAGAAGATAAAGAAATTGATGTTTTTTTAAATTCAGAAAATAAAAAAAGGGTTAATAATAAGATAAGATAAAGGAATAAGAAAAGGTTATTATATAGTAATAAAGTTTTTATTTCTTAAAATCAAGACTTATCTTTAGTTAATCAGGATACTTCAATGAAATCAGAAAAGATAATAACATTCTTATCATTATGTAATACAAAAACTGTTACAATCTTAACAATTCTGAAACTTCCTCTGAAATATTTGAATCAGTTGATCAAATTGTAGAAGGTTTAATATAAGAGATAACTTGTAATCAAAAATAAAGTATTGTTTCCTCTGAAATCAACCCATCCTCAAATAATAGTAAGATAGATTTTACTGAAATTAGTAAGTCTTATATATAGAATATGAATTCAGGTTCTTTAAAAAGTTTATCTGACTTATTTGATAAAGCAATTAAATTGGATTAAAAACAAATTTATATTGGTATTATTATTCTTTTAAATTTGAAAATAAGGTTAAAAGTCTTATAAGGAATAGTAAGATTAAAGATAAAACTGCTAGATCGCAAATATATAAAAAAATGAAACCTTTTTTGCCTAACATTACTAATGTAAATTTGTGTAAAAAAACTTAAAGAGCTTAAAAAATTTTTAAACTATTTGGAGAAAGAGAAGTAAATGTAAATAAAATCAAATATATTACATATAGTGTAAATACTATTTTAGGATTAAAAGATATTCAAATTTAACATATCATAAATCAAGTGATTTCAAAAACTAATAAAATATCATGATCAGACTAATTCTAAAGTAAGTGGATCTATCACTTTATCTTATATCTCTAATTCTTTAAATTTAGATAATTTGCTAAAAGCTGAGATAAGTGCATCATTCACATCTTAAACTAAAATAAAGATGTTACCTAAAAAATAAAATAATCCAATTTAAGATATTGTAAAGTTATTCTGATCTACTGTATTGTAACAGAATTGGATTGACGAATGTGGCGCAGTATATTGCAGATCTAAATATCAGATATATCAGACATATTTGATATATTTGATA